CACACACACACATGCAACCACCAGACTGCCTATATGCCGTCCTCAGCCTCAAGCACACTGTTAATACAGATAGACTTACATGCATACATACATATATACATACAATCACAACACCTTGTCTGATTAAATAAGGTGTGAGCTACTGTACCCAGCTGGCTTTCATCTTCAGATATTATTTCTTTGGGCTTGAAGGCTTTTATAAAATACACCTCTCTCTACAAGAGGTAAACCTTATGTCTCACTCACCAGATGGTTGAACTCTAGGTCAGCTACTGAGGAGGAAATAGAAGAAGCAGTGTCCCTAACACATTCATCCCATAAATATCTAGTGAGCATCCACTATGTGTTAGGCACAAGGGCATGGGCATGAACGAGACCCAGTCACTGCCCTCAAGGCTTTTAATCTAATGAAGGACCAACGCTAGGAAACAGGTGATTACAAATCCCATGTAATATATGCTAATCCAGGAAGGAATTATGGGAGCACAGAGGAGGGACACTGAACTAAGACTCAGAGCATTGGCAAAGTGTCAAGTGCCATGTGTCTAGACCAAAACTTAAAGGATGAGGAGGAGTTAGGACCACGAAGGAGGTGCAACCATTCCAAGTAGAGAAAACAGAATAGCACAGGAAAAAAAGTCCAGGGATGAAGAAGCATGGTGTGTGGGACTTGGGTACACCTTGACACAAGTGGGGGGCATGGTTAGGACCACTTTTTTTTTGAGACAGAGTCTTGCTCTGTCACAGGCTGGAGTACAGTGGCATGATCTCGGCTCACTGCAACCTCTGCCTCTTGGGTTCGAATGATTGTCCTGCCTCAGCCTCCCAAGTAGCTGGGATTACCGGCATCCGCCACCACACCCAACTAATTTTTGTATTTTTAGGAGAGATGGGGTTTCACCACGTTGGCCAGGCTGGTCTCGAACTCCTGACCTCAAGTGATCCACCTGTCTCAGCCTCAGAAAGTGGTTGGGATTATAGGCGTGAGCCACAACACCTGGCCAGGACCACTTTTTTTAAGTCCAAAATTTAGCCAAAAATTTTCACTTAAAAACTATTTACTGAGCTTTGGAGCCCTTTGGAGCCCACAGATTGTGCAAGACAGGAGGTTGGGGTGGATGGGGCTAGAAATCCATTCTCAACATGCTTGTCATCTAATGTCCACGTGGTGGCATGACATCCAGGTATGATGGCCCAGACCAGGACTGATGCCCACCCCGTCCCCACCTTGAGTGACCTAATATAAAACACCAACCTCAACACCATCTTTACAAGTTATTATAAGCAAAATTCATCAGAATAGAAACTCCACTTGTCCCAAAGAGACACTGCTTCCAATAAGCCTTTCAGCTCACCATTCAGTCCTTGACCTGCTTGTGACCAGAGCAAGACTTATTCCTTTCCCAGCTTTTGGGAAGACTCAGTCACTTTGGCCTGCCCTGCTTAGCCCAGGTTGCTGATCTCATGGGTGAGGGTGGAGACCTACCTGGAGAGGCACCTTTCACCTATTTCCCTGTTGCACCTATAGGTCCCTACAGGGAACAGGAAGGCACCTGCATATGGCAGTCAGACTGCACAAAGACGCCTCTCAGGCCCCGGGGGAACTGAACTGGGCTCTACCATCCTAAGGGGGTTTACAATTCCGTCCAGTGTTGGGGGTACTTGGCGCTCCTCCTCAGGGAGCCCTGGGTCCCACCAGCAGCAGCCACAGGTCGTGATGTGGCCACCTTCAGGAAGAGGGAGTGGTTGCCTCCCTGAGTTCTGGGACCACCCCTTTTGGAGGTCCCTCCACTCGGAGAACAATCTACAAGACCCCAGAGGCCACCCACAGACCCTCCAGCTAGGACCTGAGGGTAGCTTCTGAGATGACCGGGAGACTGTTCCTGGCTATGGGACAGGGCATACTTGGTAGCCCCAAATCACAATCCCTGGCACAGGAGCCCACCCGCCCCAGCTCCCGCCCCCACCCCACAAGCAGGGATTCTAGTTCCTGTGTCCACCCAGCCTCTCCCTGCCTCGATGTCTCAGTTGCAGGCTAAAGGTGAGGACAGACCCCTCCTTCCCGTTATGGGCGGCCCAGGGTGGTTTCCGGCTGAGTCAGCCCCACGGGGAGAGCACTGCTCTGGCCAGTGGTAGAACTGGCCCGCTCACTTCCTCCCCGAGTTGGGAGGTCTGGCTACCCTGGAGGCTGCCCTAAACTGCTGCTCAACCCTTGCAGGTCAAGGTGCCTGCTGAGATATTCCCCTCCTCCTGGGACAAACAGTATTATCCCAGCATTTGCATTACTTCTCTGGCTCTAGACTTTACTAGTAAAGCAATTACTTACTGCTAAGAGGAAGGACTTTTCCCCATGAGGGCTCTCTTCCACTCTCAAGAGGCAGGGGGCAAGGGTATATACACACACAGGAGGCGTAACAATGAGAGGGAGTGTGAGAAATAGTTAAAAGCACAGATTCTAGCATCCTAACTTGGACTTGTCCTGATTCTACCATTTTGGGGGGCTCTGTTATTCTAGGTGAGTTCTTTTTCTCAGAGGCCAGTTTCCTCATTTGTAAAATGGCTAATAACTATGATGGAACTTTTTTTAGGATTACTGCAAAAATTAAATGAGACAAAACATGGAACGCTCTTAGATGGTGCCTGGCACAGAATAGGAGCTCAGTACATGGCTTTAAAATGTGCCTTATAGGACAACACTTAATCCCAATGGGTGGGGATTTCACACAAAGTATGTTTGGGCGGGCAGGTTTTGTACTGCTGCACGCACTATATTGAATAGACTAGAGCATGCTTCCTGCCACCATTTCTGTTTCTTTTCTGGATAAAACAGTCCTAATTAGACACAAGCTGGGAACTAGGATGCAAATAGCATTTCCTAAAACTCCTAACCATGCCTTAATCAATCCCCGTCTCTGTCCACACACAAGAGGTTACATCTTGGTCCCCTGGAGCTACAGGCCAGCAGCCAACCTGGATGTCTCTTTGTTCCCTTTATATAATAAAAATCAGAGTCTACTGATCTTTTCTAATTATAGATTCTTTCCTTCCTCTTTGTCCTTGTTGCCCTTGCCCAAACTAGAGTCAAACTCTGGAGGCACCAAAAATCTCAGTGGAGGCAGAAAAGATGAATAAGAGCTCAACAGACAAAGAAGGGGTCATTTCAAGTTCTGAGAACAGTACAAGCAAGGCTCAGAGGCTTCCCATGACATGGTGCTCCGTGGAACAAAATGTAGCTCTGTATATAGGAACAGAGGCCCAAGCGGAACCATATGGCATGATAGCGGGGCACACAAACACGCAGCTACACTGCCTGGGTTTGAATTCCAGCTCCATCACTTAGTAGCAAGTTACTTAATTTCTATGTGTCTGGATCCCTCATCTGCAAAATAGGATCATAATAGTGCCCACCTCTAAGGGTTGTTGGGCGGATTAAATGCTCTGACAGACCGAGAGAACTTAGTATAGTGCTGGGGCATAGTAAGTACCTCATAGATATTACTGTTCCCAATTCGTATGTAAGTGTTGGAGCAGCCCACCCTTCACCATTCAACTCCAAGTCCACTTTGCACAGGAAGCTTTCTTCAATTAATCTGAAATGGCTGTCATACATCACCCCAACATACGCACTCTCATTTGTATCAATATTTTGTTTTGGCTTTTGGGGTGTGTGTGTGTGTGTGTGTGTGTGTGTGTGTGTCAGGGTCTCACTCCTGTCACCCAGGCTGGAGGACAGTGGCGCAATCATGGCTCACTGCAGCCTGGACTTCCTGGGCTCAGGTTATTTTCCCACCTCAGCCTCCTGAGTGGCTGGGACTATAGGCACACACCACCATGCCTGGCTAATTTTTGTATTTTTTTTTATAGCGACAGGGTTTCGCCTTTGCCATGTTGCCCAGGCTGGTCTCAAACTCCCAGGCTCAAGCAATCTGCCCACCTCAGCCTCCCAAAGGCATAATATTAATGTTTTTACAAACTTATTCTCTAACTGTGGGTTGGGGACTGTCACATTAACAGAGAGGGAAGCTTACTGCAGAAAATTAGGGAGTTGTCTTGTGACACAATGACTCAGTTATGCATTCAACATTCGGTCAGCAACTATTTATTTATTTATTTTTTAAACTAGAACATTTATCACATGACTAATCATTGAAATTCTTAAGATGAACTGGATGCTGCAACAGCTGCCCTCTTGGGTTTAGGTGTTGTTCCTTTTCAGAATCTGGCCTCAATCTGCAGCAAACAATTTTTAGGTGTCTCATTCAACCAGTCCTGGTGGTATTTCACTGTTTAGCCTTGGCACCCAGTTATACTTCCTCTTGTGTTTGGCAGGGTAGCCACATTTGCCACAGGTTGTCTTCTGGAGGTGGTAGGCCTTAGAGCCATAGTGGTGGCACAACTTGTGTATCTTATTGTGATGCTTCCCAAACAATGACATTCCCTTCATCATCTCGCTTCTGCAGCTGAGACCAAACAGACTAGAAGATAAGGCACTTCCACTATATCTGGTCAGCAAATATTTACTGAACACTTACTATGTGTCAGAAACCATATTCCTCATGGCTTCCCCTGAAGCTCCATGTAGGAAAATTAAGCATGAGGGTTATTGATTGAAGGGTCTCAGAAAAACAAACCTTTGTCACTAACATCCCTCCTCCTGGCCATTTGCAAGATTTGGCACTGATTACCCATCTTCAAACCCCTTGTTAGTCATTCTCACACCGCTATAAAGAGCTGTAAAGAATGGCTGGAGACTGGGTAATTTATAAAGAGGTTTAATTGACTCACAGTTCTTCATGGCTGCGGATGCCTCAGGAAACTTACAATCATGGTGGAAGGGGAAGCAAACACATCCTTCTTCACATGGTGGCAGCAAGAAGTGCAGAGCAAAGGGCGGGAGAAGCCCGTAAGAAAACCATCAGATCTCATGAGAACTCACTCACTATCTCGAGAACAGCAGCATGGGGGTAACTGCCCCATGATTCAGTTACCTCCCACCAGGTCCATCCCAGGACACATGGGGATTATGGGAACTACAATTCAAGATAAGACTTGGGTGGGGACACAGCCAACCTATATAATCCCTCTTAAAAATCATGCATTCTATCTAGGCTGCTGTAGCGGTTCACACCTGTAATCCCAGTGCTTTGGGAGGCTGAGGTGGGAGGATTGCTTGAACCTGGGAGGCAGAGGTTGCAGTGAGCTGAGATCACACAACTACAATTCAGCCTGGGCAAGAGGGCAAAAACCCTGTTTCAAAAAAAAAAAAAAGTAAATAACTAGCAAACTAGAATTTCATACTTAGTCAAGATAACATTTAAAAGCAAGGGGACCTATCGAATGGGAGAAGTATTTGCAAATCATGTATCTGATAAGGGAGTTGTATCCAGAATATATAAAGAACTTCTACAACTGAAAAATAAAAAGACATGTAACCTGATTTGAAAATAAGCACAGAATTTTTTTTATTTTTTTTTATTTTTTTTTATTTTTTTTGAGATGGAGTTTTGCTCTTGTTGCCCAGGCTGGAGTGCAATGGCACAATCTCGGCTCACTGCAACCTCCACCTCCCAGGTTCAAGCAGTTCTCCTGCCTCAGCCTCCCTTGCAGCTGGGATTACAGGTGCCCGCCACCATGCCCAGCTAATTTTTTGTATATTTAGTAGAGACAGGGTTTCACTATGTTGGCCAGGGTGGTCTTGAACTCCTGACCTCTGGCGATCCACTCACTTCGGCCTCCCAAAGTGCTGGGATTACAGGCGTGAGCCATTGTGCCCAGCCACTTTTTTTTTTTTTTCATCACCCAGGCTGGAGTGCAGTGGGGTGATCTCGGCTCACTGCAGCTTCTGCCTCCCAGGTTCAAGCAATTCTCCTGCCTCAGTCTCTCAAGTAGCTGGGATTACAGGTGCCCGCGACCATGCCCGGCTACAACTGGGTGAAGGATTTGAATAGACATTTCTCCAAAGGAGGCTTACAAATAGCCAATATACTGATAAAAAGATGTTCAACATCATTAGTCATTAGGGAAATACAAATGAAATCCACAATGAGATACTACTTAACAACCACCAGGCTGGCTAAAATTTAAAAAAGTAAAGACAATAACAAGTGTTGACAGGACGTGGGGAAATTGGAACCTTTCTATATTGCTGGTAGAATTACAGAATGATGCAGCCACTCTGGAAAACAGTTTGGCAATTCCTCAAAATATTAAACACAGAGATACCATATAACCCAGCAGTTCTACTCCTAGTTGTAGACCCAAGAGAACTGAAAACATGTATCTACACAAAAACATGTATACAAATATTCATATCAGCTTTATTCATAATAGGGTGAAAACTAACCCAAATGTCCATCAATTGATGAATGGATAATAAAATATGGTATATCCATACAACAGAATATTACTTGGACACAAATGAAATTCTGATACAAGCTACAACATAGATGAAACTTGAAAACATTGTGCAAGTTGGAAGAAACTGAGGCAGGAGAATAGCAGAGTAAGCTGGGGGTGAAGCGGATCCTTGGACGTAAGCTAGCTTAATCAGTAGCAAAAGCAAAACATGCAAAATAGCAGAAGTAGAATACACAAAATAAGGGAATAAGCAGTATGTACATAAGGGAGTAAGCAATGAGTTGAAACATGCAAGATAAGAAAAATAAGGACTTGCAGTAGCAATTTGGTCACAAAAAAATAAAAGTAAAGATAAGCAATTTGGTCAAGAGATACAGTAAGGTTGAGCAAGTGGAAGAAAAAAAAAACATATAAAAGGCCATGAAATGTAACAAACTGTGACTGATACCACTCGCTGGTCAGCCTGCTCTCTCCTCTCTGGGAGTGTTACTAAGCATAACAAATTTTTGCTGCTTTGCTATGCTATCTGTGTCACGTCCAGTTCTTTGTTTGGGACACCAAAAGCCAGGAACTACACGGTACCATCCATTAACAAAACCAGACACAAAAGGTCATATATTAAATTATTCATTTATATGAAATGTCCAGAATAGTATTCCTTTGTATGGAATCTAAAAAGTATAGGCCCATTGCATGGCTCACGCCTGTAGTCCCAACACTTTGGGAGGCCAAGGTAGAAGGACCACTTGAGCTCAGGGGTTTGAGACCAGCCTGGACAACATAGAGAGACCCAGTCTTTACAAAAATAAAAAATAAAAAAATTAGCTGGGCGTGGTAGCGCATGCTTGTAGTCCCAACTACTCAAGAGGCTGAGGTGGGAGGATCCCTTGAGTTGTGGAGTTCAAGGCTGCAGTGAGCTATGATGGCACCACTGCACTCCGGCCTAGGTGACAAGGCAAGACCCCATCTCAAAAAGGAGTTGTTGGTGTGAGAAGAGTAGAAATTTGTGCCTTAGGGGAACCCAGGAGTGTGGCCTGTACCCAAAATCACTCCCTGGGTAATACTGATGAGGGAGCTGCTCTTCTGAAGCCTTGTTTCTTCTGGTCCCTTGCACCTCTGCTCCCAACTCACCCTGGTCTGCTCCCAGATATCCTGTACCCCTAGAAGTCCAGAGGACACCCATTCTTATCACCCTTGTGGTAGCTAGTGTCCTATAGCACTATCTGCCTGCCTTCTTCCCATCCCTTCCCCATGATCCAACACAGCTTTCTGGTGTCCTAAAAGGAGTTAGTCTGACATATCCCCAGCAAATGTGTAGATGGTGTCAAGAAATCTTTTCCCCTCCCTATTTTACAAACCACTCCGCTCCATCTGTATTAGTTTCCTAGGGCAGTGGTAATAAAGTATCACAAATTAGGTGATTTATAACAATATAAATTTATTCTCTCACTGTTCTGGAGGCTGGAAGTTTGAAATCAGGGCATTGGCAGGGCCATGCTGCCAACTAGGGGAGGATCCTTCCTTGTTTTTTCCAGCTTCTGGTGTCCCCACACACTCCTTGGCTCATGGCACCCTAACTCTAATTCTCTGCCTCTGGCATCACATGGCCATCTTCCCTCTAGCCTGTTCAAATTTTCCTCTTCTTATAAGGACACCAGTCACATTGGATTAGGGCCCACCCTAATCCAGTGCCCCCTACTCCATATCCTCATTTGCAAATAAAGAGAATACTATTAGGACTGTGTGTGCATGGAACAAAAGAAAATGGGCGCTTTCACACAGTGTGCCTAGGAAGGCTATTTCACAGTATGGAACAAGAGCCTTAAAAGGTGTGCTGGCTGTGTGTAGTGGCTCACACCTATAATCTCAACACTTTGGGAGGCCGAGGCGAGAAGATGGCTTGGGCCCAGGAGTTCAAGACCAGCCTGGGCAACATGATGAGACCCGTCTCTACAAAAAATAAAAATAAAAGAACAAAAGTATCAGGAGTGGTGGTGTGCTTGTGGTACCAGCTATTTGGGAGGCTAAGATGGGAAGATCGCTTGAGCTCAGGGGGTCAAGACTGCAACAAGCCATGATAGCATCATTGCACTCCAGCCTGGGTGACAGAGTGAGATCCTGTCTCAAAAATAAAACAAAATAAAAAAACAAAGGCATGCCTTCTGGCTTTTACTCATAGGTGTTACTCTTAAGGAAATAATTGGGCAAGTGTACAAAAATGTAAGTATAAAGATATTCATTGCAGCTTTGTTTAAAACAGTAAAAAGAAGCACAAACATTCTAAATGAATACAAAGGAGAATTTATTTGCTCTTAAAGAGGTTGCAATTCAACTGAATTCTTTACTTTTACCTATGTTTCCTTCTCTTAGAACCACAACCCACTTGCAGATATTAAAATGGTGTCCTTTTATGAAACAATTAGAAACTTGAATATTGTTTGATGGTATTAGGAATCGCTATTGATATTTTAGCTGTGTAACAGTGTTTTAGCTTTGTTAAAAATGTGTAAACTTTATTTATTTTTTGATTTTTTTTTTTTTCTGAGATAAGTTCTTTTTGTGTCACTCAGGCTGGAGTGCCGTGGTACAATTATAGCTCACTGCAGCCTCAACCTCCCTGGCTCAAGCTATCCTCCTGCCTCAGCCTCCTGAGTAGCTGGGACTACAGGTACCTGCCACCAGGCCCAGTTCATTTTTTAATTTGTTTGTAGAGATGAGGTCTTCCAATGTTGCCTGGGTTGGTCTTGAGCTCCTGGGTCCAAGCGAGCCTCCCGTCTTGGCCTCCCAAAGTGCTGGGATTACAGGCATGAGCGACAGCACCCGGCCTCAAATCTTCAGCTTTTACAGATGCATACCAGATATTCGCAGCTGAATTGACAGGCTGTATAGGATGTTCTTCAAATAACACAGGCGCGGGGAAAGCACATGTGTATGTGAATGGGGCAGAATTGGTCATAGGGTTGCTGGTGGCTGAAGATTGGATACCTGTAAGCTATTCTGCTCATCTGTCTACTTTTGTGTATGATCTAAATTCTCCATAATAAAAAGTTAAACAAAGTATATATCTAGTTGAATTCTGCTTTTGTAGAATCTTCTAGGTATGACAGCTTCATAGGCGGCTCTATTAACACTTCTCCAGTATGTAATTTTTCTAAAATGTCTGTTTCTCTAACTTAATTGTTTTCCAGGATGAAATGAGTATGAAAGTACTTGGGGGACTGACAGCCTTCTACATATAGAAGAGATTATTAAGACTCATTAGTGTTCTAAATATGTATTATTGTACTCTTTAGTGGAGAAAGAATTAAGTTAAATTTTTGGCTTCAAATAATTCATAGTCTAAAATTTTCCTTGATTTAAAGTGACTTTTCTCAAAAAGACAATTCAGGAAGGGATATAATAAGACCATGTGTGTAATGAGGCTGAGTTTGGTGCTGAAAAACTCAGCTTCCTTTGATCAATCAGATCCCTGGAGGTGGGATGGGGCAGGGACCATGTGTCCTATTCATTGCTGCATTTCCAGCACCCAGCACAGCCTCTGGCACACGACATAGGATAATAATAATAGTGGTGATAATAATAATAAAATAGAACTAACATTTGTTGAGCTTCAGTGCCAAACAATGTGCAACTGCTTTGCCTGAATAATTTCATTTCATCTTCAAAACACTCCTACGGGGAGTGTCTCAACATCACATTGAGAGAAAACTGATGCGAATACTGAGCCTCAGGAAGATTAAGTTACTCACAAGGTCATCCAGTCAGAGAATGTGGGGCTGGCTTTGAACTCACGTCTGTTTGTCCTGGAAGTCACTACTTTTTTAATCAAGATGCCCTGAAATGCCAACATGAGAAATCTGGTTCTCTTAGTGTGTCTCTTCTTGCAGGGA